TCTTTGGTTGAGAGTCTCCTCCCAACCTCTGAAAGACGCTATGGGAGGTTTCCTTTTTGCCTGCCCGCGTGATATCTCTATGGGATTCCTGCTCTTCTTTTCCTTTTCTTTTGATCAATTCCTGATCGAGGATGGCTCCTGTAGCTGGTACTTCAAGCTCGCACTCACATTGACATTTATTGCACAAAACCACCCCTTTGATTATTGCTGCCTTAGGCTTTTCAAGCAACTTGATAGCTCATTCCGTCGGCCTATCAATTTGTCACCTTTCACCTTTTACTTCCTCGGTAGCTTTTTCTTTCCCTTTCTCTGCCCACGTTAAATTGATCATGTTTACGGGGGCTTGTAGAAAAGAACCAGCACCTGTTATTGCATTAGTTTGAGATTCTCCCAATATTTGCACTATTTTTAGCAGTATTGCCCCTGTTATTCAATTAGAACGACAAGGGGTTAGACAATTTGAGCTTCTTAATCTCATTCAAAGCTAGCTGGTTGGCTTCGGTTTCTTCCTTGTTCTTTTCCTTATTCCCTTCTTCTTTTAGTAAAGGGAAAAGGAAATAGCTGGTTCCTTCGTAGGGCTAGACTGGTTTGCTATCCTTCCAACATTATCATTTTCTAGAGTAGAGTGCTCCAGATCTGACCTTCTTTGCGAATTCATGGAACATCCTTTGTGCATCTCTTCTTTAGCTTCCCCAAAGTTTCTTTCCATATTTAGATAACTCATCTCCAAGCTTTTCAAGATAGTCATCAAGGTAGCCTGTAAATGTTCTTTTGTAACTTTTCCATCTAACTTCTCAGAAGAAGTCGAGCTTTCCATTAAGACGGGTCCTTGCAAGTCATCGGGGAGATTTGTTATGCTGGATCTTGGTGTGTAGTGGGGTGATTTCTATTTTGCTCCTTACATGAAGGTTTGCTCATTCATTCGCCTTTTTGGCATACAAGATTTGATCTTATCGGGCATGCCAAAACTATGTTTGGGCAGGGATATCGCCTGTGGGCATTGCTGGCTCGAGCACACAGCTCCCCGCTGAGTTGGCACTTTGGTTGACTATCGGGTTCTCGCTTTGTTCGTCGGGCTGCAAGAAGAGGACATAGTTAATTCTACAAGGTGCCTTTGTCGGGCCTTAAGTATAGGCCGTAAGGCTCGCAGTCAAAACTAACTTAAGTGCTGAGGTATGCCACTACCATCTCAGTATGGCAGATGTAAAATGAGTAGATTTAAGCTGATTACTTGCGCCCCAAGTTACTCTAACTTCTCATTATCAAAGGATTGTCGTGGATGAGTTAAGTCCACATTAGATTCTTTTCTATGCTTTGAGATCAAGGACTTTTGTGTATCTTGTATGGTAAAAGGGCAGAGGTCTGGATCTAATCAAGGCATTAAGTGGATTCACTTTTAAGATAGTAAAACCACTTAATTAAAACCATATATAAGAGTAAGCTGAACTTTGGATCATTAAAAGACTTAAAATGATTTGAATACATACTAGGGAATTCATTACAACACCAGATCTATTAACTAAAAGACAAAACAAAAGGAATCGGGCAAGATTAAACGTCGTCAGGCAAGGCTGGACCTTTCACCGTTTCTTTGATAATGCCACTACAGGGATCCGAGGGTTTCAAGGGAGAATGGATGACAAGGAAAGTTACACAAGAGAATCGATACTATTGGTGAGAAGCAGAGCTATTAAACTAGACAAAAGATGGGTTTTGTGAGGGCTGGTCCTGAAAAAGGATTGAGGTTGGGGGCTGACTATAACTTCGTATGCAAATCTGGCTTGAGCAGAGTTTGTGTATTTGTTTATTTGATTGGTTGAGTGTCTTTGTCTCTGGACCCTCTTCCTCCTTTTATAGGCGAATTAGCCTAACTGCTTACAACTTGGTTCCTGCCCGAAAGCAACTGAGGGGTAGTGACTCATCAGTAATTTACGTACTCTGCCATCCAGAAAGTGCTTTTAGGTTGAGGGTAGGCTGATTTCCATCAAGTGTCACTTCTTTCAAGCTACTAGCCTTTACATTTAATGTGGAATCATCATTTTTCCTTGGGTTGGGCAAATGGGTTTGATGCTGGGCCTTCGGGCAGAGTCATGCCTCCTAGGCTTCTTTTTCGAGCTTCTTTTCCTTCAGCCCGAAGTTCAAATATTAACCCAAACATATCCTAGAGGAAACATAACAACCTGAATTAAAGCCGTACCCACACACATTTGAGGAGACACAATTTCGTAGAATTCAAAAAGGTTGGTTTTGATAAGTCCTTGGCTTGAGTATTTTATTGTAAAGACAAAACATATTGTTTTCCATGTTTCCTTTTTTTTTTTTTTTTTATAACAATGCATCAAACATTCTCTATCAACTTCTCCAGGTTTAAATAATTGGAAGAGGATTGGTGGCGAAAACGAACGTAACGTTTTTTTCGCAAGCATGTAAGGCTTTCTACTTCTCATGACATCGGAGTTCAGATCAACATTCACTTACAAAGAGTTACATATCAAATATAGTGCATTTAATTGTACAATGAACGTAATATAATCTTATATACTGGCTATGAATACTCCATCACGGATTGATGTCCTAGAAGGACAACTTGATAAAAAAATACAAGATTGTTGGGATAAGCAAGTCTCAAACTTGTGACCTTCCCTCACAAACAGGTGATGAGCTGACTGAGAAGAAGCTTATTGCAGCTTAGGATCATAGCTAGTACTGAGATGATTATATCAAAAGAACAGAGCTTGTTTACGCGTTTTGATAAAAAAAGATTAACAAATTAAATTTGAACAAAATTTAAGATCATAGCTAGCTCAAAACTCTTACTATAAGATTTTTCTTTTAACATAATTGAATCTTCCTCTAGATTGTTTAGATATTGGTTTATATGAACTAACAAAAAGAAGGAATTGGTTTTAAAAATCAAAAGGTAATAGGCATCAGAGGCTTATAAGGTAAAACAGAAGGCCAGTTGTAACTTATATAAGGCTTCTATTAGAAAAAAAAAAAAAAAAAAAAAAAAAAAAAAAAAAAAAAACTGAAAATATGATTTCAGCCCTTCCAACTCAATTTTCTTCATATAAAACCCTACATAATTTTTTTACTCAAAGAAAACCCAATGACTAGGATCCGCATAAGCAAATTCATTAATTTCATATTACTTCACACATTTTACATTTTTCACATGCCTAAAATACCCCTATTACATATTTGATGTAGACAATTAATTGTAAGGAGAGAGTAAATGATTTTGCAACAAGAAAAAAAAGACATTAATGTTAAAAATTTATTGCATATTAATTTTTTAGAAAGGCTTTGAATTTTCATAAAACTATTCGATTCAGTTTTTTTCACCCTACTCTTGAATACTTTTGAATTTATCCTTTTTTTTATTAATATATTAGAACATTGTATTTCGTTATGTACATGCACATTAATTTACCTACAACAATTATACCATGGGTGTAATATAATGTCTCTTTTTTACAATGATGCAAAATAATGTTTATACCAACAACAAAACGTGCCTAACATATGTACTAATACATGAAATATAATTTACCTATATTAAGAAGAAATGTAGTTTGATGCATAGTATTAAAAAATAATATGTTACACCCATGTTTATACAACAATAAAACGTGCTTAACATATCTAACAATACATGGAAAATAATTTACGTACAAGTTAGATAAATGTTATTTGGTTGGGTGTAGTATAAAATTTTTTAATAATTGGAAAAATTAAATATAACTAGGTAGTGTAATTTTTTTATATATAATTAGAACAAATTAATTTACCTACCTACTATTTGAAATGTTCATTTCTAATGATACAAAATGTTCATTACCTAACTACAATTTAATTTCCAATAATTTACCTACAACAATTATACCATGGGTGTAATGTAATATCTTTCTTTTCAATGATACAAAATATTGTATGTACCAACAACAAAACGTGTACTTGTACATGGAAAATAATTTACCTATAACAAAAGAAATGCAGTTTGATGTATAAAATCAACAATATTATGTTCCGCTCATGTTTATACAACAACAAAACGTGTCTAACATATATAAGAATACATAGAAAATAATTTACCTACAAGTTAGAGGAATGTTATTTGATTCAAAATATATAATATAGGTGAGGTATTTTTTTTAAATAATTGGAACAAACTAATTTACCTACCAATTAATATAGGTAAAATTGCTACAAAATATATCACGAAAAAAAAAATTACTTTTCTAGTTTGACATGGATACGGTTAATGCAAACACTTTTAACATTTTATTTCACGTTTTCTACTACTTTTAATTTGGCATAAATTTAGGAATTTGGAAAATGGACCATAAAGTATGAGTGGCATGAGTGTAAATAAATTGTATTAATAGGTCAATAGTGTTCCCATATGTTTGCAAATTTTAAATTTGGGCTTAAACTTGATCTTTAAAGATGTATGGTTTTTTATCTAGAAATATTGAATTGTAAGGACCAAAATCTAAAGCACCCAAAAAAAAAAAAATATGACTCTCAAACTTGTGACCTTCTACAATCCGTAAACTATTTCGACCACTAGAACATATACTCTTTATTGCAAAAATTAGCACACAAAATACATAAATTGGTGAAATTCCAGGATAAGCCATGCCCTATTGTGGCCTCCGCCCTTGACCAGACAAATGTGTGATCCTTATCCAACTCTTCGAGACTGTTTTGTGTACAAAGTCTAGGCAAACCCATGACCAATACTCCTCAACGTACGCATGCATGCATGAGCTAGGCAGGATTGGAGATCGATCTGTGACCCAACCCCAAGCTGGGCACATCCTCCGACTTGCTTGCGACATATGCATCAGCCGTCATAGTGATTCCCTCGCCGGTGAAACTCTACACCGGTTGCCCGTCCGAAGGTATCTCTCTCTTGCATGCGTCCTTTCATTTATCATCACCATCACCATCATCATCGATATCAGCTTTAGATAAATTAAAGGCTGCGTCAAAGTATGGCTTCGTCGTTTTTGATGGAGATTCAAATACCAAGGCATGCAAAAAGTGAGGGCTCAGCCATGGTTCACTTACTTCCCGTTTCACACAACCCTTATTCAAAATCCCATATTGCGACAAGGTCTACCAATGTCTCCACTACACCAACCATTGCCAAATTCACCTTCCTTATTTTTCTTTCCTTGGTCACTCTTGCCATTATCGTATTTCTACCGTTCATACGCAAGGAGCTCACTCGAGGCCCCCAAGCCCCCATTGTCCAACTTACCGCCTTATCTGTGCACAAATTCAACGTCTCCGACAAAAACCTAACTGCCGAATGGGACGTCAAACTGAAAATTGCTAACCCTAATCTTGTCTCTTACATTTGGTTCAACCGGCTCGAAGGTTTTGTTCTGTATGAGGACAGACCGCTTGTCGTCAAGCCAGAGAAGCCATTCGGTCTGCCCATGAAGACAAAAACCGAACTGCATCTCAGGCTTAGAATGGCGAATTGGGAAGGGGATCAACCAGCGCTTAAGCAACTGTTGTTGGAGAAGATGAAGAAAGATAGAGAATTGGGGGGTGTGAGATTTAGTGTTCAAATGGCCATCTGGGCGACGTATAGGAGTGGTTGGTGGTGGTCGGCGCAACATGTGATTATGAATCTTCAATGTTTAGATTTGCAGATTGGGTTTAAGCCAGGCGCCACGGCTATAGGTTTTGGGATTTTGATGGGTGACGTACCCAGGACGTGCTATGTTCCCATGCTAGCTGAGTAATAATTTAATCTTTGAGATGACTTGATTTTCCCCCCCTTCATTTTTTTTTCTTGTATATTTCTTTATTCCTTGGCTGAAGCCCTGTGAATAGGATCTTAATCAAATTTAAAGTGTCAGATTTTCTATTTTGCAAATATCTACTCTGCAGGCATTGGACTTGCTATTTGGTTCTCTTACACTATGTTTGGATGAGAGAAATAAACTTGAAATTTGAATTAAAGACATAATTTATAAAATGACATGCACCAATTCCCTTGTTTGGATTCATAAACATAGAAATTTAGAATTTCCGCATGGAAAAAAACTTGGAATTTGGGACCTCCAATTCCCAAGTTTAAATTCCATGTAAATAGGTGTCATTTTCCAATTTCTATGATTGAGAGTTTAAAAACAACAAATTCCGTATTCAATTCCATTGTTCTTTTAGGTTACCCAAACAAGAAAATTCACAAATTCTATAGAATAAAATTTCATCATTTAAATTTCCGTCATTTTAAAATTCCTTAGTAATCTTAAATTTATTCATCCAAACACAGTGTTATTTTCTAGTAATCTCTATTTAATCATTTATGCGGAATTTATTTTTCCACATATTTAATCTATTAAAACTTCAATGCCTGTATATATTGTAGAGATTTTACATGGATTTCAAATAAGAAATCATTAGCTTCACTTGCTTTACTCCTTAGAATTGCTGGATTCTTTTGCTTTTGCTTTCAATTTTCTAAAATATTATTTTAGTTCATGTAGTTTGGGTAAAGTCCCATTTTGGTCCTTGTAGTTTCAATTATTAGTTATAGTTTGAAAAAAAATAGCTTAATCGTCTAGCTTTTTGTCCATTTTTGACAAAAACATACTTGATACCATTTATATATATAGAGAAAGCTTTAAGTCATTATCGCTTGCAAAAGTATAGAAGGAGCTATTATATATCGAGTAAGTTTCTTCCGTGGAGACATAAATTCACATTCAATAGAAGAAGGAGATGTGGACTATATTCTCGATATAATGGTTTTATTCTTAATGTCATGAGCAGACCACAAACCATTTCAGAGAATGTGGCATATGTCTGCCCTTTATGAGGAACTGCATGTGGCACTTGTTTGTCCTGTGAGTATTAGGGTTTGGACCACCAACATATCCAAGGCGCTTCAGACCTATGATATGTCTTGGCACCGAGCCATACCCGACCCAACAATGGCAAGAAACCAACTCTTCAAAGTATCCCTTTTGGATGGCCGCCGGGCCTGCACTCTTACCAACAGGGACCTCTATGACTACAACATGTAGGATTGTGTAGATTGGTCTGCACCATCACTAGCAGAACGTTAAGGTTTGCCTAGTATGACCTGCAACTTCCCCTCTCGATTGCTTGTCAAGTTTATAAATAGCCAAGTTAAACAAGGAACAATGGGCATGACTGTTTTCCTTCAGTTGCAAAAATCTTGCAACTGAAGGGGAACCTCATTTTGTTGTGCCCCTAGGACTCAATATTCATCTCAGTTTACCCCTGAAACTCAAAAGCCGCTATTTTACTCCCTGAAACTCAAAATTTGTTCCACTTTGACTAGTTTCCATTAAATTCGTTTAACATCCGTCAAATTTGCTTATGTAGCTTTGCTATGTATATGGTGACATATTTGGAACCCATCACCCAATAAAACTATACCATATATGCCTACGACCCCGTTGTCATCTCGACACCGACCTTTTTCATCGTAGTCCTCCTCCGCTCCAACTGCGTCTGGTCTGTCTTCTTCTCTCTATCCTACAACAAATTTTCAATCTCTCACCGACTCGGAGATTTAATGATTTCAAATGATAGCGAGTTTTCCTCGAGTAAATCTTCACTATTTTTTCAAGTAATTATCGAATGAAATCTGTGAGAAGAGCATAAGAAATACAAAATCAACCATGGAAACATGGGACTCCATTTCCTTTCTTTAGTCATTAATTTTTCACATCAATTTTCAATAGGATTTACATTTTTTTTTAAGAAGAGTTCAACTGGAGTTAATATGTAACCCATTAGTACTCTCATAAAACCCACAATGTTTGTTAATTGAGAGAGTTGGAGAGAGACAAAGAGGAGAGGGGGAGAGAGAAGAAGATGAACAGTGTCTAATGTGGACATAATATCCATCTTTTTTTGCACATATATGCATTTTTTAATCAACGTCAACATATTTAATGGCTTTTGAACAAAATTAACAAAAGTAAGGCAATATAGATCGAATTTTGAATTTCAACCAAGTTTCAAGAGACCTAATTAAAAATAAGCCTATTTACAATAAATTGGTTAGAAGTAAGATGTTTTGGGCACAACAAAGTGTCACGCTCATTTTACTAGGATTTTTGCAGTTCTAATAGTGACGTGTAAAATGAGGTTCCCCTTCAGTTGCAAGATTTTTCTCTCATATTTAAGAAGGGGAATGTAAACAATGGGGTCTTATTTGAGGTTTACCCCTTGTTTAATACTAGTATTATAGGGAATCACTAGTAAAAAAAAACACTTTGCGCGACGCAGGTCCTTCGTCGCGCAAAGTCAAAAAACGTCGCGCAAAACTTTGCCCAACTCACCTTGGTCGCGCGCAAACCGTCGCGGCAAGGCAGTGACAGAAGGCTTTGCGCGACGCATGTAACCCTTTGTCACGCAAATCCACTTTGCGCGACGCAGACTACGTCGCGCAAAGTTTATTTGCGCAACGCATGTAACCCTTCGTCGCGCAAATCCACTTTGCGCGACGTATGCTGCGTCGCGCAAAACTACTTTGCACGACGTAGGCTGCGTCGCTCAAAATGGATTTGCACGACTAATGGTTACATGCGTCGTGCAAATCCACTTTGCGCGACGTATGCTGCGTTGTGCAAAGTAGCGTCGCTTGACTTTGCGCGACGTAGACTACGTCGCGCAAAGTGGATTTTCGTCATTTTTTTTTTTGAAGAAATGGTCAAAAATATTATTTTCTTAACTCTTTTAATAATATTGTAATTAAAATTCTAAACAATAATTAATGCACCAAAGAAAAATATTTCATTATAATATATATATATATATATATATATAGAAATGTATTGTATATGTTCGAATGAAAAAGAAAAAAACTACAAGTAATCTTCTTGGTGAAATGGCTACTGGGTATCAATAGGGTGAACTGGCTCGAAAGTCGAAGGTGTAGCAAGATCAGGTACTACTGGTAGCGAGATTTGGAGGCCAGTCATCTGTATGGCTCGTACAAGGTCTCTCATTTGGCCAGCATAGGCCTGCAGCTGCTCGCCCTGGGCCCTTATCTGCTCCCTCATCTGCTTGCCCTGGACCTGAAGCTGACCCTGTAGGGTTGTCACTTGCTCCTTCAATGAATCGACCTCTGCGGTGTTTGATCTGGAAGAAGAGGCACCAGTCTCACGAACTCGTGCTTTCCCCATGCCCCGAACAACCTTGCCGTGATGACGACCAAGGTTCTGATCCAAGACATCAGTCAGGATCTGAAAACCTGCATCCTCGGGTACCGGGACGTCCTCAATCGGGGTCTCAGGGGGAAGCTGCGATGTTGCTACTTGGATAACAGCAGTGCACTTTTCCACCATAAGAGCCTGTAATAATAAAGAAAAAACATATATATAAAGGTCGAACGTAAACATCCTCGAACATGTCGATCTCTGGGAACTTAGAACCCTCCTGAAGAAAAAAAAAACATTAAGAAAATTTTATTAATCAATAATAATAAATAAATTGTATAAAATTTCTAAATTAATATACTTTTACCTGACGTCGTGCCTCAAGCCTATACGAAAAGGGCTTCGAACCGGAATGGTGAAGAAGTGTCTTTGACTCCCGAGCTATCTTGCCAGTAATAGATTTCTTCTGTTAAACACACAATATACATGTTAATGCGACTATTTGAAATAAATTAATAAAAAAAACTTAAAAAATAACTAAAACAATAAGAAATTATTATTAAAATATTATGTACATACCACAAATTTTGGGTCCGTAAAATGTTTGCAGAGCCACTCCCAATCCTCTGGCCGGTCCTTCAACTCGCTTAGGCAACCACTTAGGCGAGCAATCTCCGGAGTATCCCATAGCTTAAAATGCGTGTGAAGATAGTTCTTCCAATGCTTGTACCGGGTTGCTAAGGTCTCATCTAAGTAGGCCTTGACCTCGGGGGATATATCATCAAGATCAAAAATGACCTACGAATATGAAAAACAATAAAATAATAGTAAGAAATTTAATAATATTAAAATAATATAATTTGGTTTTTATTATTTGTAAACAAAACTAAAAAAATGATATTGAATCCGAATTTGTTTATTTAGATGAAAAGAATGCAAGAATCGGAAATATAATTTATGAAGCCAATGACATTCATGAACAAGCAACTCAAACATGGCATAAAGTACAAGATTATAATAAACAAGATTCGATAAGATTAGCTTATGAATTTGAAAAAGAAACAGAAGAGTTAATTTAAAAAATTGATGAAATAGATCAAAATGAATTAAATAACCAGATAAAAGAGTTAGATGATTGAATAAGTGTCGAATACCAACCGGAAGAAGGCATTAGAGTATCACATGACAATCATGACTCTTTATGTTTGAAAATTTACACCCCTTCACATTCACGCAACGCGAGATATTGGAAGCATACCCATCTGGAAACTTTACAGAAGAAATAAAGTTGAAAAACTCTTTCTTCCCATTTGGCTTAACTGTAAAAAAAGGATGGCCTTTCTTCATTGTACCACTGACACTCTGCATCCACATGGATGACCTAATGCCCATTCGTTCCAAATCGAGGCGAGCTTCGATCGTGTCCTTCGTTTTTCCTTCAATGTCTAGAATTGTCCCGACCAAAGTATCAGACACATTTTTCTCAATATGCATAACATCTAGGTTGTGTCTCAATTTTAACTTTGACCAGTACGGGAGCTCAAATAACATACTCTTGTGTGTCCAGTTTAGATGTATAGTTGGTCTGGGCTTACTGACCCCTTTGCCGAAATGACCAAATTCCAAACGATTTAACTGATCCAAAATCTCATCTCCGGACCATTCTCTTGGTCTTAGCCGAGTCTCTTTTGTGCCATGGAAGGCTTTATCGTTATGATGCCACTCGTTGTCCCAAGGGAGCCATCTACGATGACCAAGATAACAAACTTTTCTCGCATGCCAAGACGATGTTACGTTCTCCTTGCATATTGGACATGCCAAATAACCCTTAGTCATCCACCTAGAAACAATTGCATAGGCGGGAAGATCGTTTACTGTCCACATCACTGCCGCTCGCATGGTGAACATCTACCCAGTATACTTATCGTATGTACAAACACCGTTTTCCCATAAATATTTTAGCTCATTAACCAACGGCCGCAAATAAACATCAATGGACTTTCCTAGATCTTCGTCCATTAATAAAGTCAACATCATGTATTCTTTTTTTCATGCACTTCCAAGGCGGCAGATTATAAGGAAACACGACCATCGGCCAAGTGCTGTGGTTTTGGTTTAAAACCCCAAACGGATTAAATCCATCAGTGGCAAGTCCTAATCTAACGTTTCGCGGTCAGCTGCAAACTCAGGGTACATCCAATCGAATTCTTTCCATGCCTCTCCATCTACAGGATGCCTCATAACATCATCATTTACCCGTCCTTCTTTATGCCATCTCATGTCGGTTGCCGTATGCATCGACATGTACAATCGTTGCAACCTAGGCTTCAATGGAAGATAACGCATTACTTTTTGTGGAATCTTGGTCTTTCTATTCTGTGATGTCATTTTAAACCTCGGCTCATTGCAGATAGGGCATGTATCCAACTGTTTGTTCTCCTTATAAAACAATATACAATTATTTACACATGCGTGAATTTTTTCATACCCCAATCCGAGACCCTTCAACACTTTTTGGGCACTTTTATGATCTTCAGGTAAACAATTCTCCTTTGGAAGCATCCTCTTGATAACTCCCAAAAAGTAATCAAAACACTTGTTTGACAAACGAAACTTGATTTTGCCATGCATCAACTCTACAATTGCTGAGAGCACCGAAAAGTTCTCACAACCCGGATATAATTCTTGCTTGGCATTTTTCAATAGTTTTTCATAGTTTTTAAATTCCTCACTGTCCATGGTTGGATGACCATCATCTCCCCCTTCCTGATTGGTGTTGCTCGAGGCGTATGGATAAACGTCATTTACAATATTCATAACTTGTTCACTAGGATCCACATTAGATTCAACAGTCTCCACTTGTGTCACGTATGAAGACGAAGCTTGATCTAATCGTTCTCCATGATGATACCAAGTAGTATAGGTCTCCATCATCCCATTTCTTACTAAATGAAATCGAACATTTTCAAATGTCTCCCACATTGAGTTGTTACACCTTCTACATGGACATCGGATATGAGTTGAACCTGGGTTGTGTCTAGTTGCAAATTCAGTGAACTTATCTATTCCATCCAAGTACTCAACATCACATCTATTATGATTATGTATCCACTGTTTGTCTATTTTGTCTGCAATCCCAATAAAAGTACAAGAGTTACAACAACTTCAACTACTATATTGTCACCTTATTCCTCCGGTAAGGACCCTATCCCATTCAGGAATGCACAGTTATGTGTCGTAATTTACGATTCCAATGATTAAATTTTGACGTGGGCTAATTTCGGCAGCATCTCCTTACAGTTCTTCAAGTGCACGCCGTAGATACATAATATCCACCGTGTACTCGAAGAACAACAGGAAATGTTACCAAAATTTCCACTATCGAAACCTAATACGTGAACCGCAAACTACAAAACATAACTATGCATTCCCAAATTGTCCATAAAATGGGACAATTCAAGAATTAATTGGACCGCAGTCATGCTTTCGCATCCATACACGAAATCCAACGAATTCTCAAACGGGAAACTAAGTTTTTCTTCAGAAAAGTGTACAAAGTTAAGTAGTATTAATTTCGTACAACACAAAACAATTTTGTACGTGATGTACAAAAATTTGTGCATACAAAGAAATTAAATCACAATAATTACTAAAGCTAAATAAAATAGATAAAATTAATAAAGATCAATTACAAATTGAATCCCAAAAAAATCCAACATGACCAAAATTATCTTATGGTGTTTGAACAGATGGTCCCATCATAAAGAAAATTCCTACTGCTCCCATCATAAAGAAAATTCCTACTGGTCCCGGGGTCCCTTTAAATGAAAGAGAAGTAACAGATAATGCTGGTGCTATTAAAAGTGGAGGAGCTGCTTGTAAAGTGCCTGAGGAATTATTTGTAATAGGTACCGTCTACTGCCTAAAAAGGAATGTGGATGCTCGTACCGGCAGCAGCGGAGCATTTTCAGAGGATTGTGCTTTCAAGCAACATAATAACTGACCACAAGTGTGTGAGCCATTACTATACATTAAGAGATGTGCTCAAAGGTTTGCCGGCCTCCGATGATGAAGACGAATTTTCTTAAATAATCAAAACAAACTGCTCTGAGTTTACCTCTGTAAAAACGTAGCTCGTATATAAGGTTGTTGTAACTTGAGTTTTGCATTTAATAAAATTTAGCAATTTTGATTAACAAATGTTCATCCAGAGTCTTGCTACAGTATTTTGTGTACAGAGTGATGATCTGCTACTTCTATATGCTTATCAGTTTGGAATGGTTGCCAAAAACTAGATTGAACAATAAGCAACCCCATTGACAGAAGAACGAACTTACAACTAGGACACAACTGTGGAGTAAACTAACCCAATTAAGCATTGTCATGTATTTTAACTTTCTCTACGTGACAGTGCTTGGTGGGTTTGATTTCTTCCAACAATGGCGTCTCAATTGTTTCTTACATCTCCATCGTAAGTCTGTGACATTCTAAACTAAAAATCCGATGTCATGTGAAAACATTAAAACACATGTCATCGCGTCTGAATGACCTACACTCCTATCCCATTCTCTTCTTTTACTTGCTGCTTAAAACATTTTTCTAGTTTTACAACTGCCAAGTTGATTGCAAATCCTAGCTGGCATGAGTAACCCTTTTTTATCCTTTTGAGTGGTGGGATTTTTCCAACTTCTTATCTTCATTGTCTAATATTTGCCTTTACTTCCTTTTAGTTTTGATGTTTTGTGATTGTGAGTGGCATAGTTTAATCCCAAATAATGAACTCCAGTTTAGACGGTAATCTTAATTCTTGTAAGCTTTTTGGGTAAGTAATGATCGGGTTCCCCACCATTTACCTGCCATGAAAGCTTAGGTTATATTAACAATAGCCATACCTAGTATGCTACTGCTAGGTAGATAGAGCTATATTTAGGATCCCACCATTTATCTGTTCAGACACCATAAGATAATTTGGTGAAGGGAAGATCACGTGCCATCATCAATAGGAGATCAAAAATTTCAATATATTGGGTATTTACCAAACTGAGTATTTACCCTCAATCATATATGCATGATAAGAACAAAAATGATCAAAATTTTCAATATATTAGGTAATATATAAAAAAATTCAATACAATCATATATAAAAAAATGGATAAATAACATAGAGGTTTTTAAATCACCTGAGTGTGATCAACAGCTATGGAGGTCTGTAGGTGAGGAAGAGGGGAAGGCAGCTATGGAGCTTTTGACTAGTGTTAGAACACTGGAAAGAAAGACAAAAAGGTATATTTTCGTGTTGACTTTGCGTGACGCAAGTTCACTACGTCGCTCAAAACAGTTTTGCACGACGCATTACTACGTCGCTCAAAGTACCGTCGCGCAAAGACCACTTGCGTGACGTTCTGTGTGTTGTCGTCGCGCAAACATACTTTGCGCGACGAAATGCTCTACGTCGCGCAAGGTTTCGTCGCGCAAACATGTTTTTCTACTAGTGAATATGACTAATGACATTCCTAATTTTTTAGGAATGTGACTCCTCATGGGGAGGAGGTGTTGAAAAAAGGGAATGAGAATCAACTTTTTTATACCAAAACTATCCTTACATTATTCATTGATGAAACGTAAAATTTATTTTTGTACAAAAGGTGTCTTAGGAATTAAATTAATTTTATTCTGATTTCTGATAGCTAGTAAGCATTTTATTTGATTTTTACTTTCTTTGTCATTCTAATTGTACACATGCAGTAAACATTTTAACGAGAATGCCTATTACCGATTCATATTCTTATGTTCTTTATACTATCTTTGAGTTTAATTATCAATTCGATTGTTGAGAAGCTGACTTGGTTGGCCTCCTATTTATAAAACAAATAATGAAAAAGATAAAGAAACCTACAGTTATTTTATTTTTTCCGTAAAAAGCCTTCGCCAACTTAAGAATGTCATTTGTTTTTTTGTCGTTGGATATGGGTCGGAGGAGGGAGGAGGACCGAGGAGCCTCGAGTCCGACTGAGTTGGGAACCAAACTTGGCTTAGTACCATTGTGCTAAAACCCCCCACGCCAAAGAATATCATATTTCAAAAGGAACCTACATCGTTCCGTGAGTATGTGTACGTAAGAAAAGTAATAATAATACATGCATCCAAAGCTAGCACGACTTTAGCCCTTGCCCCCAATCCGTTTCTCTTGGGGAACAAGAAATATATTACCTACAGATGTAGGAGAATATTCAACAAAAACTCCAAACAGATAAAGAAACTAAAAAAATTCTAGAAGAGGGAAATAAAAACTCTAACTAGGAATAAATCAATCCCAAAATCGACCTATGACGTATTCCCCAAGTTCTGACCAGATATAAATATACCTAATCAGACAACATATCAGACATAAAGAAAGCAAACTTTCAAAGAGCTTTGCGACTGCGATTGTTTTTAGTCATCCATGTCTGGCCTCCTCCAATACAACTTCTTTCCCACTGATTTCTTCTACCCTCGTCCACAACCTGTCGTCAACAGCGACAGTTCTAATCCCTGTAATTCTGTTGTACCTGTTCAAACCCGCCCGCGAAAGAGCGAAGAACATCGTGTTGATGCTAAAAAAAGGCCTAATGTGACGGTTCGTTATGATTACAACATGGACGAGCATCACAATAAGTTTTGGCAAACCTCTTGCTCTACAGAGCTTCTACTTGCTCCAGCCGTAATAACCAAGAAGAGCCTTAATGATTAATTATTCGGCTTTAATTGTTTAGTATTTTGTTGAACATGTTCGTCGATCTCTTCCGATTGAAACTAATGTAATGTTAGAGGATTTAATTTTGGTCTGCTTTTTATGCAAATAAGTTTTGTAATAATGTATAAAATATCTATAGGAAAATTTTCTGGAAATTATTATATATCTGTTTTCTCTTTTGTCAACAGAAAAAGGAAAATTAATGGCTTTGTGATTTAGGATTCTCCGTCGTAAAGGAATGAAGCTAGGCCAGCCAAATTTAAGTTGCCTACATGAAAATCCAGAAAGGCTTCTTTCAGTTCATAGTGCATTCATAACGACAGACTGACAGACAATTTTTATGAGGGAAGAGGGAAAATTGGCGAAACTACCGTGTCAATGAGAAGAATATATATTTTCCACCTCCATAAGTTTCCGCTAAAACTTCCGATTGAAAAATTCTAAAAACACCCCCAAAAAGTTGTCTACATACCAGTTCCCTACAATTTCATCGTCTTTTTTCTTTTATCGCCCCAAAATTTCATCTCGAACTCGAGCACTTTTCAAGAAGTCATCCGTCCTAATGTTGAATATTTTAAGAACATAATATAATGTAATATATATATATATATATGGGGCTGTTTGATAAAGGATGGGATTGGATCATTGACCCAACAATCACACTCTTTGAAATTAAACGCTGCACCTTTTTCTATTTGGTGAAAAGACAGGATGCATCCCAAACAGATGCATTCCTTTACGAACAGACGTGATCATTGGTAATTGGCCTCTTGTATCAGACATATCCATTAGAAACATTGCTGCAATGTTCAGTTGTATCTCTTGGTGAGAGGGCACTAAAAGGTGCAATTCTCTTTATATATACTGGTAACATTAGTAGAACAGAAATCATTCAAAAATTTATTGTCTACACAATTGTTTTGCTCTCTTCTCTCTCTCCATCACATTCATACAATTTCTTTCTAGTTATTTATAAGGGAATACAATTCAGTTTTGCTAATCGAATATTCCATACTTTGTTGTATTCTGTAAGTGATTTGCCAAGAACCCTTTAGTAAACTCATTCGAGTGGGGGCAAATAACATTAATAGGAAACATTTTAAGGAAACGATTCAAGTCATACCTCAAAGTCATCCTTCAAATTATTCTCTATATTTCTACATTTACTCTAAAAATCTTACAATGTTAATTTTGTCAT